GAATATATGCCCTTTCAGCCATGAGAGAACTTTCAAGCCTTCTTTACTGATTATGACATTGGTATCTCCTGATACCCTGTTGATATCTTAGAGAGGACTCCAAAATTTCTGCTGTGACCATATTTAGTGATGTATTATTACCAAGAAAATATATCCAGGTGCTGGAAATCAAAGATATTGAACAGCTGGGCGCCACTAGGTACTGGACTGGCAAAAGTACAGTGTCTCTGAGTTACCCTAGATTTTGGGTGTGTTGATCTTGACTGAATTTTATTTTGTCCCGTTACCTCTTTCAAATTGCGGTGATCAATAGAAATGACCTAGGAACGAGTTTTGTTTATCATCCTCCGAATAGGAGAATTAACTCAATGTAGCTTACCTCTCTTCTCTCTATTCTACTTCCTTTCACCTTTCCTACCTTTCTCTTTTCTATCCCCATATTTTCCTTCCATCTATCCTTCCTTCCCTTTTCCCTTTTATTTATATTACCTTTGTATCATGCTAGGTATTAGGGTCCCAAGCATAAGAAAGATCTAGTTGTTGATCATAAGTTGTCCTCATTTGGTACTGGTTGTGGGATGCATTTAGGAAGTGGTCTGAAAGCAATCATATTAGTAATCTTAACTCAAATTAAATTCTGTAAATGTTATGTGACAAAGTACTCTGGGACAAAATGTGAAGAAACAGTATTTTAGACACTAAGAGTTAGATTGATACATAATAGTAAAATATATGTATATGTATATGTGTGTCTATGTATGTGTATATGTATATACATATATGTATGTATGTATATGTATGTACCTCTACAGCCAAATTATTAGCAGAAATACACAAGTGTGTCTTATTAGCAGAAAGATACAAATGTATAATTTGTTGAATAATAATTACATGTGAGAAAATGAAATATCCAGCATATATTTTTGAATTTGCAAAACTCCTTACGAACCCCAGAACAATTTTCTAAGGTCTAAGATGATTACCCATAATAATTTTAGCTCTCTAAAGGTTAGATCTACCTCCTCAGAGCTCTGTGTTAGATTTGAGATTTCCTGAGGATATTTACACGTATTTGGCAGAGTGCCTCATAAGCGGTTTTGATTTGAAATGTGGTTGAACCACTTCCCAAATTTATACACAACTCATAAAGAGTGAAAATTTGGGATGTGAAAGTCCATAAATGCTGTCTATAAAACATGGGTATCCTGTCAGATACTTCGAGTCCTGCTGCTTAACTACTGTTGATTATTAAGCTTTTATGGCTTGCTTTTATATTGCTAGAGTAATCATTTTTATTGGCTTTTTTTTTTTTTACAACAATTCAGTGACATTTGATAATATTTTCCTTTCTACTTTTATATCTGAGAAGTAGGGGCAAAGTAACTGGGTATTATGCTCTTTGAAACAGCCAGTGGAAAAATTGTGATCAAACTGATAGACCTCTAAATCCTCACCTTAACTGTAGCCCTGCGGCTCGACTTCTCTTTTGAGGTGCTATTTTTACCTCAATGACTGAATTTTATGTTTATCTTAGCAGTTATAATAAATTCTTATTACTGTTGGCAAGCACAAACCAGGACTTTCCTAGGGCATTTCTTGTCCTGCATGTAAGACAGAACAGAGGAAAGAAGACTGGATTGAAGTAGGAAGATCAGAATTCTAGTCTTAATATTTTTACTGACCAGCTGTGGGATCTTAGGGAAATCACTGCTTCTTTGTGGGCCTCGGTTGTCTCATCCTTAAGAGAATAGTTGGTTGTTTTTTTTTTTTTTTTTCAAGATTTATTTATTTATTCAGGCCAAAGATGCGGAGGGTGAGAGGATTCACCAGAGACAGAGTGGGGAGCAGAACAGGCAGATCGAGGAAGTACACTACTGAGGGGAGCAGCAGGCCGGTCAGGAGAGGTCTGCCACGCTATGTGGTCACCTCCGGGGCAGGCGGGATCGAACTCATGCGGAAGCGGCTTTAGATTCTCAGTGCTGTGCTTTAACCCACTGTGCCACCAGGGAGGGCCGAATAGTTGGTTTTTAAGTTTTTTCCCAAGGTCTCAAATGATAAGTAGTCTCTATAATAGAGTAGTCACATTTACTCCTTCCCTTTTTACAGATGAGGAACCTGAGGTCTAGCAAGAT